TATATATATATATATATAAAATAACGGAGATATTTTAAATGAGCAAGTTAGAGGAAACACCCTGTCAAATTTAACACAGTGTCAAATTTAACAATCGTTTTAGTACAAAATAACGACATATTTAGTAAGAGCAGTGGCGACTTAAATTAAGTTAAATTTCACGCTATAGATTTAACAGAGAAGGACGCTGCCCCACCCTGATCGGGCACAATGTCAAGCCCCACTCTTTGGCTGGTCACCAGAAAGGCTCTAAAATCGGTAGCCAGCTAGTTTCCGCGATAACGAAAGATACAGGTGACTCCGCATAGCGTTAGTAGTTGGCGGGTGCCTGTTTTGGCAGAGTCGCGTTCCTGATCGCCGTAGCGGCTGAACCAGCGAGCTCGCTGGGATCGCATCGGTATGTGGACGCATAGGATCCAGGCGGATTTATTAGTTGCCAGAAAATATGCGTTCGCACGATTTTGCGCGATTAACGATGCGCGACCTCATATGGATGTCATAATATTCGGCCGTCTGTTGCGACACGCTTGCGGTGCACGCGATCGATATATGATACGAGAGCTGCATGACACAGTTAAATCAAAATTGTGCACGTCGTTAGAGATACTATTTTGATGGAATGATGAAAGAAATTTTGCGGAAAGAGCGACATCGCTGCGATCCATCGTGTGAATAAAGTTGGATCAAGTGCATTATTTTTGACGAAAATTGATGACAATGATGGTGGTTGGATGACGATGAAAAATCGCGATTAAATGAATATACGAGACGTGGTGATTGATGATATTAGTGACACGATAAATGAGTGACTCTTTTTTTATCGTCTATTTTCTATCAATTTTTCTCAAGTTTGTATTAATCTACAAAAGGACGTCGGTATTAAAAAATACCATTTTTTATCGTCTCGAAAACTGTTTAATACTAAAAGTACTAAGGTTTCTTATTCTTGAGGACTAAGCGAATAGATTACTGTAAAAATAAAGAAAGTGATGAAAAACTAAATATTTTTTCAATATAATTATTGAAAAGTCAAAAAGTTGCATAATCCTATCTTTTATATAAAAAATAATTTTAATTATTTAAAAAATAGAAACGATCAACGGAGTGATGATCACTCCAGTACTTTTAATGTTAAAAATTTCATCTTTAAAGAATTTATATCTGTATGTAATAATTCAAGCGGATTTGTCCAAATCTAATTGATTAACACAGATATATCGCAGTCATATATCATAAATTAAGAAATTTCATATCTCGCCAAACCGATCTTTGTCTCTATGAAACTCTATTATTATCCTAGGTCTCAAACGAGTAGCTTGGCCACCGCCTCCAGAGGATCAAGACTTCGACTACATCGAGCAAGCTCCCGTCCAAGCGAAGGTAATATAACAGATAATTAGATACGTGTGTACATATTTTCGCGCTAAAGAATCAGATTTCGTTGTCCCATCATTTTATGCTGCTTCAATAAGACAATGACAAAAGGCAATGATAAAAATTTGCAATCCTTATTTTTCGAACGGTATTACAAATTCGAGCGAAATGATGATAAAATATTGACGATAAGAAAAAAATTAATGCCTCAAGATGTAATATTTATTGCAAAAATGTTGAAATCAAATTTTGATCCATGAAGACCTGTTACCTTTTCTCTTGTTAGTGTAGCAAAAATTCTCTAAATTCTTTGAAGTAAATTTTACTCCAAAAGAATGAAATCTCACTCCGAAGAATTTAAAGAGAACATTTATCATTTCATATAAATGAAATGAGGATATAAACGAGCATATAATGAAGTAATTAAACATTTTCGTGACATTTTCAAAAATCTCCGAAAGGACACGGATATACTTTTGAATGTCTACGTGTTGTATGCATTCTTTTTTCGTAATATTTTTTATTTCCATTTAGTGCGATAGCTTCTCCTGCATCTTGCCATGCGTGTGAATGCAACGATGTTCGTTACGTGTTTCTTTTATGTATTGTTCACGCTCGTTCCTCTCTCTGTGTATGTATATCAGTCCTATTTCGCTCGGAGCAGAGATGGAGAAACAAATACGCGATATATACCGCAAGTCTCTAAATTAAGTCAGCAATTTTGGCTAGTTTATTCTTCGGTAAAATTGAAATCGATTTCAAGCAATTTTTTTTAATTGTCATTAAATCTCGAATAATTATTGAATAAAAAAAATCGACTGAAATAGTTGTCTTTTTAACGAAGAATAAAATAAAACTTTTGTAACAATTCTAGCAATTATAACAATCAATATTTTATCTATTATTGTTTTATTTAAACGAAAAATCGATACTACATGTCGTTCCATCTCTGACTCGCACTCGTGCAGTGAATATCGATATCGTTAGAAAGTTTACTATACAAATTCGGCATCCGAATATCGTATTTCTTAAACACGCGAATCCGCCCATTGCGGTCGTCGAGGCAGGTCTACCGATTGATTATTTGCAGGAAGCGAAAAAAGAAAACGATAAATTGTCAAATTGGTGCATTGGTCCCTTTTGATAAAAACGACGATGCTTGGCTCGAGTGAATCGCGAACAAATTTTGAAAAATTTTTGATCTGAATAATCGAGAATAATATGAATTAATTCGATGTAATTAAAGAGTTAATCTTACCCTTACTAACGGTTTGAATGCTCTACATAATTATTTTGACATTCGAACAAAATTATTTTCTGCATCTGACTAATTTGAATGTACTTCAGCAAAATAATTTTTTCCGTGTACATTCATTGATTCTATTTGTACAAAAAATATTTTTTTATAAATATTTTTTATTTTACATATAATGATACAAATTTAGATACTTAATGATAGTCGAGATTCAAACTAACTAATCTCTCTGCTTTATCACTCCGATGGTCATTTTTTTATACATCAATTCCATAAATCTTTTTACCGTTTTATTTCAAATTATCAGCTTCTAATTTTTTATTATGCAAATAGTGTTAATAGCATTAATAGTATATCGAAAGAGATGATTTAAATAAATAATATAGACATACGAGGATTATAGATATCGCATTATTTCTCGCAAATTTTCGCGCACCATCTCTCTCTTTTTTTGGGACGATAGAACCATCAGTCCGTGCATTCGCTCGAGCCTACAAAATTATCTGTTTTCCCCTCCGGTAAGACCCGTGGGTACGGTGAATTCGGCTCGTACCAGAGTAGTCTCTCATCGGGTCCGTCACCCCAACCGTCCTCGACGGTCGCACGGTCGTCGACACAGAGCGCCGTCCCGTCATCCCCATCGCCGATCAGTCCTGGCGGGACGCTCCTGCGACAGCCCTCGCACTTCCAACAGCAACAAAATCTCAGGGGCTGGACGCCCGTGACACCCCCGGCAACTTCGCCGCTCTCTCAACAGCATCCCCTGGGCCAACAGCAACAACAGCAACAGCAGACTCAGCCTTGGCAGGTAGGTGATGTTTGCATAAACATGGCTGATGGTCGGTCCTCCGCAATTTTGGAAGAAGAGCCGATGAGAAACACGGTAAGAAACGATGGCACGTGGTAATCGCTTGCGATCTTGGACGTAAGAAGCATCGTTGCCGTTGTTGTTTATGCGAGAGATATATTGTTAATTACGCATGTTGCTCTTCCTCTCTGTCTCTCGCACTCAGAACCTATGCACTCAGAATCGGCGTGAGACGGTTTTAGCCAAGCGAGGATAGCGGAAGATTTGCAGGATAGCAACTGGTACGGTCGTAAATGTCTTCGCGTGGGTGTGACATACTCGCGACGGTGGGCGAATCTTTATCGCTGTGCCCTTTATATTTTTTTCAGCACTCCCAGGATCCATACGACCGGGCACCGCAGAAGCAGCAACAGAATCTATCTGGTTATTATACACCCACCCCTGCGGCGTTCGAGGCACCACCCTCCACTATCGTCCTCCGTCCTGAGCCGCCTATCTCGCAGGTGAGAGTTTGATAATACAAGTTTAAAGAACTTAAATCTTATCGTCAAATAAATTATAAATCTAGTTCTCTAAGCTCAAGGAGTCAGTTTCAATTCATCAAGTTTTCAATTAGAAAAAATCAAAATGATTTTATTTTGACGTCATAAAAGTCAAAATAATGATTTTAAAAATGTACTGACGTTAAGAATCAAAGTCATTTTGTTGACATAGTAGACATAGAAGTCATAATAATATCATTAAGACATCCTCATTTTATTTGTCGCTCAAGATAAATGTCCCAGTTTTCGATCATTTATTAAAGAAGCATTATTATTATTAAATACTCGTAAATATGTTAAAAAAAACATTTTAAATAAAACATTGATATATTATATTTGCATATATCAAAAATTTAAAGTCATTGTGTAATATTTTATTAATAAATAAAATTTAATACAATGAACGGAGGTGTGTGAGATGATTGACTTTAATCCTTAATTATTTTAAGAACAAATAATTTTTGTAGCGTGAAGAAAAACCTTATAGCTTTATATCTTTTCGAAAGTAATGTTTTACATTACGTTTGATATTATGTTGCAACTCTCGCAAAACTATGATCCGGCCAAAAATAACGCGGTAAATATTATGCGAGTTTTCGAAATGTCTCGTTTAATATCGGAGTGGGTTGCACGGTGCGATACAATATTTTTGCGAGAGTATCCGTGCGAGATCTCTAGCGAGAACTGCCTTTGGCAGCATATCAGCCGTTAAATATACGTCGTCGTCATTCCGGCAGCATCGATTACATCTCTCTTGTCCGAAACTTACTTCTAAGAATATCCTGAATATCTAGATGTTTCTGAATATCTAGATGTTTCTAATCTGACCCACGACTTTGAAAGAATGGTACAGCTTCTCTGCATCACTGTCCAAAGAGAGCAGTCAAAATAAAGTTAAAATGATATCATATTGACTGAAACATGACAAAAGAATGACATAAATTGACAAATTCGGTCAATGATCAGTCAATATAATATCAAATTGACATTATTTATTTATTATTTTTTATTTTCTTGTTTCTCCTAACAAGAATGCGATTCTTTCACATATTTCCGCGACTTCTGATATTCGTAAAGTTTAATTTTGAAAAGACTCAAAAAAAATGCAATGCATGCACGAACTTAAATGACGCCAAGTGCATAACTTGACTTGATGCGAACGACATATTTATATATGTTCGTGTCGCTGCCAAATTCATGATCACTAGTTTTTTTTGAAGTTTCGACATCGCATCAAGTCAAGTAGTTAAGTGATCCGTTTCATATTTTTATGCACTTGGCGTCATTTAAGTTCATTCTTTTAAGAAACATAGAAATAAGCATAAGAAACAAAGAAAATCAAGAATACAACGCAATTAAAGTGGTGCAAGTTGTAGTGTAAAAATTTTTTTATTTTACAAGAAAGATGATATCATCATATTATAAATTATCTAATTCTTTCAGACTTTTATCTTTATTACTGTATTATATTTGCGGACGGAGAAAATGATTGCATCTTTTTTTGAGTATTTTTAAAATTCAACTTTACGAATACCAGAAATCGCGGAAATATGTGAAAGAACTGCATTCTTGTTAAGAGAAAGAAGAAAATAAAAAAGAATAAATAAATAATGTCAATTTGATATTATATTGACTGAATTTGTCATTGACCGAATTTGTCAATTTATGTCATTCTTTTGTCATGTTTCAGTCAATATGATATCATTTTAACTTTATTTTAAATTTTCAATTAAAATTACTCAGAATAGTTTTCGATATCATTCAACATCTTGCGGCGTTGCTCTCTCTCTCTCTCTCTCTCTCTCTCTCTCTCTCTCTCTCT